TTTAGGGGCCTTAACAACTAAAATAGGGTTTCGGGGCCCATTATACTATAGTCATAATGAGGAACCCCCAATCCAAAATAGTAGTTCCTGTTCCTGTTCCTGTGCGGACGAAAGTGCTCATGAAAAGCGCGTCCCAAAACTGGCAACTACGAAAAACCCGGGTGAAACACTGAGGCTCAAGCGTTGGCTGGACGGCACAACCAAAATTCAGCTGTCTCGCCTCGAGCTCCCTCTGTGGAGGCTTCATCTATGTATGAGAGCACCCACTGTACTACGTCCGCATTCGGCCTGTACTGCCGTTGCAGTCGTCCTAGGGTAATACTCTCATCACTGGCGTCCCCCAGAGCCTCTGCATACGTGGGAGCTCTAGGGCCTGCTGCCACAGTGGCTGGCTCGGCTGCTACGTATGCAGTCCAGTCCCCTTTTTTGACGGCCTTGTTTAGCCTGCGATCCTCTCGTTCCACTTCGAGCACTTCAGCTAGGCTGAGCGGTGGCAGGATGTGCACAAGCCTTGCTAGGCAGCCTGGTGACCTCTTGACATGGTACTGCGTACGTGTGACTGTGTGGTAGTAACGGTGGCATGCTAGGCAGTAAGGCCTCGGCACAAAATGTCTGACCACACTGAAGACTTTGTGGGCCCTCGCCATATGGGCTCCGAGGTGCTTCCTGAGGACGAAAGCTTCCCCACAATGAGGACAGCGAAACGCACGGACCGGCTCAGGAGGACTCTCTGGCTTTGGTCCCTGTCCACCTTGTTGCTCCCACTTGAGCAGGTCCGCTTGAAAGGCTGTCATCGCCTTTTTTACTTGCTTGGTCCACCACTGTGGATCCTCCTCGTACGCCTCAAGAAGCATAGTAACTGGACTAGAGCATTGCAGGAAATTGCTGGCAGCAGGAATGTACACACCTACCGCTTTCATGTCGCACTCGAACTGACCCAACCAAGACCGTTTAGGTTGTTCATGCCAGTGCGCTCGTAGTAAGAACATCAGCGCTGCAGGTCCCTCTTCAAGTATCCTGCGCAGCAGCACCGCCCGCGATTGTGCCAACGCAAGTAGGGGGGAGGGTGCCTGTGCCTTGGCCAGAACCTCATAGCTGTGCGGTGGGTGGGAGCCCCTCTGCCAGCGAAAGAGGCCACGCCAAAGCTTGACGTAAAGCTGGCACCAATTACGACGGTGTTGCTTGGCCTGTAGCGTGATAGTGGCGCAGGAGAACACGAACCTAGAGATTATGAGCGACCGTAGCAGATTGCGACGTATCTCCAAGGGCACGGCAGGTGCCGAGAAGAGCTTCCCATATAGGGGACGAAGAGAAGACTGTGCCATCGCAAAACGATACTGTATCTCCACCCCCGGAGTCGCGTTTGCCACGGTAATGCTACCCAGGTGTTTGTACCTGTCGACCACAGGCATAAAAACTGCTTGGCCCGTAATATCATTAGGGATCCACAGGCCAAAGTTGCCTTCCGCATCTCTGTCCGCCGCCTTGTGGAGTCCTGTTTCTCTTGGGCACTCGCTCGACAGTAGCGCCGCCGTCTTGTCTGGGGCATACGTGAGCTCCATGCCGCTCGCCGAGGCATGTGTTGCCAAAAGGGCCGTCGCACTCACCACTTGCTCGCACAGGATCGCCGGCTCTTTATGCTGTTGCATGTAGGTGTAGTCGTCCGCCCATGCAAGGCACCCTAGTAAAGGTGGCGCCTCCTTCGGCATGGTGGCACATACCGGAACCTTGGTCGACAAGCCTGCCTTAGCGAGAGCGGTCTCGGCCCCCCTTAGATATGCCGAGAATGTGAACGCAAACAGGATGTCGGCCATGGGACTGCCTGGTCGTGTCCCTCGCCTTGTGAGGACGAGCGGTCCTCCCTTATCAAATCGAAACCAGCTTCCGCGAAAAAGATCGGCCACTCGGGCTTGCAACCCTGCTGGCACGCCTGCCTCGGCCAAACTTGCCAGGCTGTGGAGGTGCCTTGCTAGTTCTGGCAAGGCCTCGTCCGGGACCCCTATGCCATGCAGCAGTGAGAGGAACTCCGCATCAGTGGCCTCTCCTTGAGTGGGGACCAGGGCCTGTCTGATGATCCTGTAGAAAGCTGCTTTCACATCGAAGTAGACGAGAGCACAGCAGGATTTCCCTGCCCTGGCTCGCTGCTGGTATGTGTGCGCAACTAGCAAAAGGCTATCTACTCCTACTCCCGGCAGTTGCCCCGCCTGGAGTTCCGTCTTGAACTCCCGGAAGTAGGGAGTCAGGCTCTCCCGTAGGATGCGGTGATGCGCCTTTGCAACCACGCTTGCAAGTAGGATGGATCTGAAGGCTTTGCACTCAAATGCAGCTGCAGCCCGCTTGGCGAGGCTCATCAAAGCCCCCCCTCTCCACTCTGTAGGCTCGCGCACACTGAGTGCTACCTTCAATGTAAGTGGCAGCAGTGTGCGTGCACATGGCGCCACCGCTACTCGTATGGCTTCTGCGGTAAGTCCGTCTGGCCCGCAAGCCTTGCCATACTTGGTCTTGTGCAGATGCTGCTCTAGAGTGCTCAAGGTAGTGAGCTGCGCGGCATCAAAAAGCGTGCCCGATTCGGGCATAACGATATCAGGCTCCTGGAAGCTTGCGACGTACTGCTCAGGCGTAACTTGCCTGCCGCCTTCCTGGGCGCGTCCAGCGTAGTGCGCGTTCCTCAGGGGTGGCCGCAAAAGTGCCATCCTCCAACTTTACAGCACGGAGGGGATGGAACCGTATTTTTCGTGCCGACCCCGCCTGCGGGAATGCTCTGCGCACTGCGGTATATAGTGCCCTGGGCCTGGTGAGGTCTTGCAGGGTGACCTCTTTTACAAGGACACTGGCATATGATCTTGACGTGCTTGGAGGGCTTCAAACGTGTACCAAACCCAAGTCCTAGGCCCTAGGTCAACCCATGACTTTGGAATGCCAATATAGTCAATGCGATGCTTGGCAGGCGTGGTCCCTGGGCCACACCATGTCCAGCTATCACCTTGGTGGCATTCCTCAAAGGTGGCCGGCAGAGCACAATCTACCCTCTCTAAGAAGGCATGGAAGATGGAACCTTCTACATTTTCCTCCTCCGCATCCTTGGACTTAATGTGGTGCGACGTGATGGAACCTACGTGGCTATTGGCGTCCACGAGCAAAACCACGTTAGCACGCTGTGGTCTCTGTCGCAGCTCTCGCTCCCGGTCATTCCAAAAGGCTTGAACCCCCTCTCGGCCGGCTGTAGCTACCCGCGGTGCATGCACCACTAGTACAGTCATGCTGAGCCTGGGGGCCTCGATGTGAACCTGCAGGTGTCGGGGCGAACTGTTGACAACTACAACCTGAGTCGGCTGCACTCTATATGTTTCGTCTGCTGTGGTGGCATAGCCCTGCTGAAGGTTGATCCATAGTGCACATCCGTAGCATCCGGCTTCATCTGCCGCTGCGTTGAGCATCATGAAATCACTGTCCGCCAGTTGCGCGCTACTGGGCAGTCTCGTCTCCTGCAGACCTATCAACCATATCTGTTCCTGTAGGAACTGACGCTTAAGGACCTCCCTTTTTCCTGCTATCATCATCCCAGGGTCAGGTCCCCTAGCCTTTCTACCCTTGGGAGCTGTGGCATCAAAGAGGGTCAATACATTGTACGAAACTAGCCTCACCTCGTAGCATGTCTCCGCTGCGGGGTGGGCCTTTTCTGTGACCCCCATGGTCGGTGGATGGGGTTGTACTTCAGCATGCTGTAACCTACTTGCTTCTATCTCAAGATTACGCAAGTCCGGCAGTGATAGGTCAGATAGATGCGCCATCCACCCCCACTGCCACAGCTGATGGTTATGCCACAGATGTGGCCATGCTGGTAGAACCCTCTCGTAGTTGTCACTTGGGTGCCTTCGACTATGCCTTGCCAGGGCATCGCACAACTCATTTCCTGGCTCGCCGGAATGGCCTGGCACATGGCTATGCTGGCAGTCACCTTCTAGATAAGAAACCCTGTCACGCTTGACTGCCGCCCTGACCGCGACGGCTAGCTCCTGTATGCGCTCAAGGGCCAAAGCTATGCTTTTATCCACGTCACTTAGCCACTGATGCGCCGTTGCGCGGGCCGCCTGCCCGAAGGCCGTGCCCCGGCGCAAATGCACAAAGGCCGCAAAGCATGCAAGCTTGACGCGTCGCACACGTTCCACCTCTTCTGCCTTGATGTAGTGGCGGTAGGCAGCCCTTTCATCAACCAGTTGCAGAGTCTCGGCTGTCAGGTAGCTCTGCGATTGGCGGCGCGGCTTCGGTGTGCTTATGGCTGTGGCACTGTCCCAGACGCGGTCGACCCAGGCATGATAGTGGGCGTCAACGCCCGTCCACCAGCTAGGGATAGAGCCTTGGCATAGGTGACGCACAAAGGTGTGCCGCTCCTGTGCACACGGTTGTCTGGCGGGACGGCAAGCACGCCGTGTTACTGTGCTATATCTGGCCGCCGGTTCTGGGCGACTCATAGCCAGATGCAAGCGCACGGCCCTGCAAACATTGCCTGAGCTGCACTGCAAAGCCTGTGAGCGAGGGAGTATCCGACGTCGTGATGACCCCAGGCAGTCTTTGGTCTCCAAAAACCCCCCTGCCCGCAGCAGTCGCATCATACCTAAATTCGAGTGGCACTTGATACTTGGCTCCGTGTTCTATTGACCAGACAAGGGCCCAACAGAGTGCCAGGACTTCGGCAACGAAAGCCGTCTCTGCCTGCTCGCCTAAAAAGTAAGGAGTCCCTGGCGGGGCTGTGGTATGGGCGCTGCTGCCTAGGTAGTAGATCCCGTGCGCACATTGCACCCAAACGGCAAAAGCCCACGCCGCCGGAGAAATGTCATGGGAGTCTGCCATATCCGCAGAGCCGTCGGTATACACCAAGAGCCTCTGCGGCGCCTCATTTCGCGAGGTATCATGCCATTTCGGCATACTTTTGAAGTAGTCGCTCCATTGCTCCGGCAGGGATGACTGCCTAAGGAGCACTGACAAGTCATCGTCTAACCAATCCAAATTCATGGAATCATACCCCTCCTCTATCCTGGGCGGGGCCGGAACAATGTCCCGCAGGCTACGCACCTGCTGCTGGAAGGGCGTCTCAGGCACTAGTTCTTCCAAACATAGGCGGGGCCGAGGGTCGTTGGCCGGGTGTGCACGCGGTACCCGGTGCTGGCCATAATGGTCGGCAAGCGTCTCTACCAGGACCCTGGCCTCCGCTACTGGGTCTATCCTCATTTGCCTCCTGGCCTGCTCCAGTAAGGTACAGGGGACGGTGAGGTTGACTTCTTCCATGGCGGACTGTCTAACCTGATTGCGACATGGTGTGGGAATTCGGCGCCTCGGCCTGCTTGCATGGGCTACCAACCCACAAGTTGCTTCTAGAGTCTTAGCCAAAGAACTAGGGGCACCACCAGGGAGGATAGGGGTGAAATGCTGGGGCTCTGTCGTAAGAGCTTCCTGGTCCATACCAGCATTCCACATATCGACTCGACCTGGCGTACTTGCCTCAGCTGATTCGGCTGGTGCACGGGCTGGCATTGCTCCATTGAGGTTGGCGCCTGCCGCAACCACAAGGAGACGGAGTCCATGCTTGCAATTGTGCCTGCTGCGAACCACGGACGTCGCACGTCCGATATCGGCCTCTCGGTGTTGCCTGCCTGCCTCATTTGCCTCACCTAGACCTCTAGTGCGCGGCGAGCGACTACGTTCTCTGGCTTGAGCAGGTTGGACAACCTCTTCGTCATCCGTGGCCGGCTCGCTTTCCGGTGTTTCGTCATGGTCAGGTGCTGCACTGGAGGCATCCACCGACGTGTGCTCGTCCTCCGCCGGGGGGGGCTGAGCGTATTCTACACACAGGACCAGGCCATCTTCGATCGCTATGTATATCTCGCCTTGCCTCTCTTCTGACCGGCCACCGGTAATGCTGATATCAAAGCCTGCGGGGCACCCCCTTGTAAAGCGCGCTGCAAGGGTAGCCACATGAACCGATGCTTGTTGAAGGCGCATCCATTCTATCCCACAAAGGATGGGGCGCAGGTCTATGATTATAGTGTAGGGGTGGTAAATTTGTCGCTGCCTTCTATTGAACGCCTGTGTGGCAATCATGACCCCTTTAGAATACCACCCTCTATCAGTGTGATCCCTGATAGCTGGCTTAGCAGCCCTTAGGGTCAGTTGCTGCTGTTCATAGCCAAGGAAGGCGGCAACATCCTGACGTAGCAGGAGTCTCCGCGTCACATCCAGTGGAAAGCGTTCTGCCGTTGTGTCTGTCAGTAGCCACAGTGCAGGGTCAGGGTGGCCTGGGACTGTCGGGCGCACTTCCCATCCCTGCATGGTACGTAGCATATGGTCAAGCGACGGACCAGGAGCTCGCCCCCTGTCTAGGTGGGAGATAGTGATGGTCATGCCATACCTGCAGTCGATTCTCTGGCCGTGCTCTAGCGGGGTGGGATCCTCGTCTACATAGACATCGACCTGCGCACCACTACCTAAACCAGCATGTACGAGTATATCCTCCCTGCGCATGGCCTGTGGCACTGTATCACAGTACATAGTGCCATTATACTGCCTGCAGTCATAAAGCACAGTGGCATGCGTCTCGGCCCACTCGGGAGTGGCCAAAAGGGTGGCAAAAGCCCGCGCAGGTTGAATCTCAGGCAGCAAAAGGCGACCAAAGACGCAACTGCGGTGCGCACATCTAGCCGCCGATACTGCCTGCATAAACTCGGCAACCAGGGATGGAATGTTGAGAAGCACACGGACTACTTCTGGCAGGTAGTTAGGCGTATATAGAAAAACCGTGATCTCAACTCTTCCCGCCTCTTGTTGTAGTTGTCCTACCTCCGGAGCTGGCAGGGCATACGTAGGAGGCAGGCAGTGTCGGGGAGTCCTGTCCGTTAACCCCTCGTATTGTCCCAGAGCATAGGCTTGTGTAATGCTCTGGTGGGGCATCTCATGCCCCTGCCTGGGTTGATCCGGCCCTTTACATTGCTGGGGCCTATGTCTGGCTTCTTTGAGCATTGCATATGCCGTACAAAACTGGCTTGATGCATAAACACTCCAAGAGAAAAACATCCCCTGTGGATCAGGGAAGGGAATTTGGAGCAAGGGTTCCGCATAGCCCCACCATGACCCAGAAGTGGCTAGCTTCCGCCGCTTCAGGCTTGTTGCCGCGCCTGTGGTGGAGGCTTGGGCTGCCCCGTCACCATTCCAGGGCGTAGAGCCTCCCCCTGTACCTGAACCTGAGTCAGAAGATTGGTCCGGCTCATATGCGCTGGAGGCTCCCCCTGGCATGGTGGAGCTCATGTGGCTGCCTAGACTGCGCCCGTCTCCGTCAAACGAGTCAGAATCAGGATCACGGGGGTCGGGGGGCGGCCCGCGACTGGAGCCATCGTCCGAGAAACCATATCTGGGCTTCAGGATTCCATGGAACACAAGCACTGTACTCCCCTGGATATGAACCTCAAGCCCTATCACATGTCCACCTTCGACCTGAATCTCATAAGCCTCGGGCAGACGGATACCGGCCAACGCAAGAATGGACGGTATATGCACGGTGAGGGCATGGGTATAGTATGGCAAAGGCCGTATACCCAGAGGCCTGAGATCACACAGGACAAAAACATCCCTTCGCCTGGAATGTTCGGGCATGACAGGATCAGGGGCAGGCATCCTGACCACCTGTATGCATGCTGAGCACGCTGCACCTTGAACATCCAAGTCCGCTAAGGCGTGCGTGATACTGATTGTCAAATCTGAAATGCTCTCATCTACCAAATCTGACACAGTTTGCCGCACAGTACGTGGTCCGCCCTGATGTTGATATACCGCATATCTGGTTCCTTCGAAGGTAATGCAGTAGGCTGGGGTGGTTGTCTCATGTGGCATCTGCTGTATATCACCCCACGTAGCTCCGGCCTCAAAGAGTGATTCAAAGGGGGAATCCCTCACGCCTGCAGTCCCAAGTATGGTAGCAGTGATGGCCATGCCTGGCTCGAGATGCAGACATTCATTTCTGCTAGGGTGTACAGCCTCAGTACACAAGTAGAGCTGAAAGTCATCCACATCCGCTCTAATTTGGGGCCGTATAAAATCAACCAGCGCCCTGTAACTCATACGCGCCGGCAGGGTTGTGGCATAATAATGCCCGCCAACCGTCGTCAAGTCTAGGATCACTGGTGCGTGGCCATCTGCCCCTAGCTGGGTCACAATGCTACAATAGGCAAGGACGTACCCATATCCTGAGAGCCTCTGAGGTCTAATGGGGACTACTGAATCACAGCGTCCTCCGCAGAGAGCGCCCTTCAGGTCCAGCACGGAACACAAGAGTGTGTCCCCATCCTGCGCCAGATGCCGCGCAACAGCCCAGCCTGTGGGTCTATAGTGTGGCGAAAAAACCGTAACTCCCAGCCATGGGTCGGCAGGTAGGGGCTGGGTTGGATCGTATATCGGTAATCGCTTCACAGCTCTATCCCCAATGGCGGCAAAATTGTGACTAATCGCACTATGCCTATGCGGCCACGAAGTCTGCGACAGATCCGTAATGTGCTGAACCGGAGAGAAGGGGACTGCATGGCTGTGGGCGACTTCGGCTGCATGAAACGCCACCGCGAGGAGGGCATCATTTGCTTCTGGGGACGTCCCAGTGCTGCGCCCAGACTCATGTGGGTGCATTGCATAGGCTCCTGGGAGGTACAGCGCTGCAAGACCCGTCAGAAATCTCCCTGAGGCCATATCGTGGTTGGCCCAAAAAATGGCACTGGGGCACAGCAAGGAAGTCGCCCAGCTACTCCAGCTTGGTCTGGGTCTACCAGATGCTCTGCGCCGCACGTACGACTGTCGTTTGGGGTGCCCTGACGGGCCCTTGCGGTGCGACGCTATCCCTCCGCTACAAGCCGTCAGGCCACCTAACGGCAGCAAAATTGTCACCGGGATCAGTCTTGTAGGGCCATGTATCAATCGGCCCAACGGGGAACTTGCGAAGCCGAGCTGTTGCATAAGGATGCTAAGCAAGGCTCCCTGCATGCCTAGTAGGGCCGCGAACAAGATCGCACGGCTTTGCTGTTCCACGTACTCAAGTACGCTGGTAAGCGCTGTTGCCTGTATGCTGAGGCCCCACAGCCCGTATACGAACCCAATGCACAGTATGATGTAAATGGGGACTTGGCTTAATTCCCGAGTTGTCCTTCTGGACGGTGCTGCGTCACTTACAAGCAAAAACGATGTCGCGCAGATGGCAGGAAACAGCCACAAGGGCAGCCCAACTTGCACTTCACCAGTCATGAATGTGACACACACTATCAGAACAAAACTCGCTGCTGACAGTAAAATATTCCTGCCAGGAATTGCTTCTCTCATCCTCTGAGGCCTATGCCTAGCCAGGCAGCCAAACGTGGCGCCATTGGGCTCGACTGATGGTATTGCGGCCTGATGCCAGGGGCCATGAGAAGGACCACCTGGCTGAACACGGCTAACCCCTAATAGAGGGGGATTACGACCCGTATCTAGGGGGGTGGTGGGGTCGGTATAGGGACTATAGCATTGCATGTCCCGGAATGGACCGCCGTTGCTTGGGCGTCTGGCTCCCATGTATCAATCAGCTGGCAGCTAGTCTGTACGTTGCGTGTACGACTAACCCCTAGGGGCAAGGATTTACAACCCACTATACCCTGTATGGGGGCTGGAACGTTAGGCCTTCTGCTGGCAGTCACAAGGTGGCAATGAACTTCCACCTGCGAGCTAATACAGCCTTCCCATTCGTGGCGGCAAGGGGCACGCAGAGTTAGACCTCCGATAGGTTTGGTATCAGTGACATCGGGGGGGCGCCAGTGCCAACAATAACTGTACACATGTTGATGCTGTACACTACGCCACTCAAACCGCTCAGATCCAGCCCTCCCCAAACTCATGGAAAGGCCTCGAAGAGTGCAAGGCCCGAGGTGTTCCCAGCGACTGTGAGTAGAAAAAAGGCTGAACCCAAACCCGATCCACTCACAAGTCGCCTGACACTCCAGGCTTCCCTTTCCTAAGGCCTCTCCTGATCGTTTAGGAGAGCCGCTGTTCGTCACTCCATGTCGCCAAGGCCTTCTTCCTCCTTGGTCTCGCCGAAGAGCTCTTGGTCGGTATCGCCTTCGTCGACTTCTATGGGCGGAACCTCCTTCGCCTCCCTGCTGGCCTCCATGAGCTCCTTGTCCGTAGAACTGCCGGCCCCATGGAAGGGCAATAGAGCATGCCGCGCTGCATGTAATTTGTCCGCTAAGGAAGCTGCTGGTGTTGGCGAAGCCAATCTGGCAGGAGCGGACGGGCCT